GTGCCCCCCACGCTGTACAGACTGCTCTGCGCACATGGATGAAGTGAAGGCTGGAAAAAAAACCACACGACGCAGCCCTGCAGTGAGGCGGCGGGGAGCCCAGACAGCCACAGGCTGCCCGCGGCACCAGGAGCGCCCACGGCGCAGGGACGGGATAAACGGCGTCCACACACAGTGAGAACAAAACACTGTTTTATTGCCTGATTTGAGAGAGGGGTGAAACCCTGGAAGAAGCCCCATTCCCTGCCTGCGCTGGCCCAGCCGCCCCCTCCGGCAAACCCTAGCACCAGCGGCATAATAATGCATTTGCTCTTCTTGTGCGTGTGACAAAGGTGGCCTGGCCATGCGCGGAGGTGAGAGGCCATATCCCTGCTTGCATGCCTGTGTGCCCACGTCTGCTCGCAGCACGCATGAGGATCGAGCCAGTACCTGCTACCTCTGTTTCTCAGGGCTGGCAGAGCTGCACTGAAGGGCCAGAGCAGTTTTAAATAGGGTGAGGTTTGTCAGCAACCCCTGTGGTAGCTGCAAAGGCAGGATGCTCCTCGGGAGCTGGAGCCACAGGCTGAACCACATCCGCATCCATTAAAGTGCATTGCAGAGAAAGGAGGGGGCAGAGGAGGGAAGAGGAAGCGTGGGGGAAGAAGCCTGCTCTCCTCCATCACGCTCTCCTCCTGATTATCCAGTCGAGCTCCCTGATGGGCTCTCTGCAGCCAAACACGCCCAACATCCCCCTTCCCCTGCTCTGATAAAGTGCATCCTTGCCGTGCTTGTGAGCCCAGTACGTGAATAGGGGACTGGGCTCGAAGATGCTGAAGACAACACAGGACCCAGCCCAGCTGCCCCCCCCAGCCACATCCCACCAAACAGGGGGATGCCGAGGGGTCCGCAGCACTGCGGCTAGCTCATCCTGAACAGATGGTCCTCGAGAGATCCCCACCAGTGCAAATGTGCTTCATCCCTTTGCATTTCTCTGTGCGTTCCTCCGTCTGTGGGATTGTCCTTGCTGCCAGGGGAGGGCTGACGGAGAGCCCGGTCCTGGCACCAGAGCGACCCGCGAGCCCGCCGGAGCGCAAGCTCTCATCGCTGCCAGGAGTGCTCACCCCCTTGCCCCGGGCACTTCAGGCCTTCTCCTGCATGGCTTGCCCACGGCCGCACGTGGGATGGGTGACTTCCACCCCGTGACCCCATGCGCCCTGGCCCAGTTGCCCATCTCGGGGACGCAGCCGTCCTCCATCTGCACGCTCGCACCAGCTCCCTGGCCTGCACGAGCGCGTACCTGGTCAGCAGGGCTCGGTCCCCAGGGTGCTCCCCTGCCTCTACGGGGCTGGCACGGGGGGCGCCCGGCGGTCCTGGAGGTCCGCCGGGG